ATCGAGTAGTTTCGTACACACACACACACAAAAATATTAGACTTAAAATATAGTTCATATAGTTCTTGAAATATAGTGAAATATAGTCATATGCACCACTTTTATGATGCTTTTTGGTTGTTTTTTGGTCAAAAACCTGTCCTGTTGGCAAAAAGACATAAGTTTATATCTGTGTTTTCATAAAAGACTGAAACGATCCCACTTGTGGGAGGACTTTTAAAAGTAAAAGCAAAAACTCTTTAGATGACTTATTTATTTTTTTTGTAGTAAAATATTATTTCATATGAATGTATCTGTTGTAAGAAAAAAGTTTGTCTTTTATATTATTTATGCTTTTTTTTTATGAGAAACTTTTTATTTTTTTGTTGTTTATTTGATTTTGTATATTTTTTTGTTTGTTTGTTCCACACAGTGTGGAGTTTAGCCATTGTATGTGTAAAGTTTTGTAATAATATAAAGAGAAGATTAAGTATTACACCTATCCATTTCCTCCTCTTAAGTTTTAATGCTATATCTTATTTTACGCTCTCAAATTGCCGAATATGGATGAATATTAAGTAGTTAATATAGTTTATATAACGTAGTTTCATATGGGCCCTCAACATGGTTTATTGCACCTCTAAAACACATATGTAATCCACAGCTGGAAGCCTGCAAGCTCGCATCTAAAACGTTTGGTTTTGAAACCAAAATTAGGTCGCTCCCACTATAATAAATAAAGCAGTCTGCACTGTCGGTGCCCATAGATTTGACCCATAGACAAAACCATGGACTTAACATGGGGAGTCTATGGGACTGACTCCCTTTTGGAGCCAGCCTCTAGCGGACAGTCGATGAATTGCGGTTTTAGTCACTACCGTGTTGGCTTCACGAGAGAGACCAGAAGGTTGCCGCTTGTCGGTGCCTGAGGGATATCAGAAATATCTGCTCAAGTATCCGGTAATTGCAACAGCTCTTTGAAGTTTCCCACAGTCTATCCCCACAGCCTCCCAGCCACACCTCCTCTGTGCTCTCTACGTCTCTTTGTTAACCATAAACAAACATGCGAGTGCTTGAATGACCTTTGACCCTCCCAGGCTGTGTTGAAAGGCACTGGTCGTGTTGACATCACGTGAGTGTTTTTGTTTGGTTGCTTAGTGGAGCTCATTACTGCGGTCTCTTTATTTCAGCTTCAGATGTGGTTTGTACTCAAGTTGACTGTCTACATAAGCAGATTGCCAAAGGTTGGATGGTGCATTGTCATGTTTTGCAGTCTTTTTAACAGCTGATTTCAGGCTGGCTGGATTAAGATGTGTTTTCATAATAATTCCATCTGTCAAGGGATATCATATGAGTTGTTGTTTTATTTTATTTTATTTTTCTGGAGATACGAGAGCTTGATGTACTATGGAAACATACTGTAACTTTCAGACCCCAAACATCCTCCACCATCCATAAAGAGCATTTACTTATAATAAGCTTAAAAAATGTCTCCTCCTGACCTTTTGCTCTGATCACTGACAACTACAATGATGATAAAAATGAATTATACGTTCCCTTAATGTTATCTTGACCTCCCTGTACACATATTGACTCCTGGCTACACCCTTCCTGTATAAGCACATAGAAGGTAAAATGCTCTCCATCTATTGCTCATCCAAAGCCGACTCTTCCAGAATTATAATAAAACAAATAAGCTCACATTCTTGATATAAAATACATCTTCCCAGACTGTGTTGAAAGGCACTGGTCGTGTTGACATCACGTGAGTGTTTTTGTTTGGTTGCTTAGTGGAGCTCATTACTGCGGTCTCTTTATTTCAGCTTCAGATGTGGTTTGTACTCAAGTTGACTGTCTACATAAGCAGATTGCCAAAGGTTGGATGGTGCATTGTCATGTTTTGCAGTCTTTTTAACAGCTGATTTCAGGCTGGCTGGATTAAGATGTGTTTTCATAATAATTCCATCTGTCAAGGGATATCATATGAGTTGTTGTTTTATTTTATTTTATTTTTCTGGAGATACGAGAGCTTGATGTACTATGGAAACATACTGTAACTTTCAGACCCCAAACATCCTCCACCATCCATAAAGAGCATTTACTTATAATAAGCTTAAAAAATGTCTCCTCCTTACCTTTTGCTCTGATCACTGACAACTACAATGATGATAAAAATGAATTATACGTTCCCTTAATGTTATCTTGACCTCCCTGTACACATATTGACTCCTGGCTACACCCTTCCTGTAAAAGCACATAGAAGGTAAAATGCTCTCCATCTATTGCTCATCCAAAGCCGACTCTTCCAGAATTATAATAAAACAAATAAGCTCACATTCCTGATATAAAATACATCCACTAACAATTTTTTTTTTTTTTATGTTTTCATGTATACATTATGAATGATTTACAAGTATATGCTTTTTCAGTATTTCCACAAGGGGCAGTATAGCAGGAATTGGTGCAAATGATTTATTTTATTGTCAGTTTTCGCTGTTGTCATGGTGGACCAACAGTTTGGAAAGAATCTTGCTAAACAAGTTAAAGTCAATGTTTATAGCGACAAACCTAAATATTAATGCAGACATTTGCTACTTTATCGCACCCTAGAGTACTGAAATTTGTTGCTGCCAGAATAATGCAAAAATACATAAAGTGTTCTAAACTAGACTCATTTAACCACTGATCAAAAAGAACGATTGCACCCACATCTCACTGTCTAATTTCAATACTTTTTTTATGTTAAAAATAGCCGTTCAATGTACTGTTGAAATTGTTTAGATTTTTTTACATTTCACTGCTAAATGTTATTAATAAGTCATTGATGTACCCATTTTAACATGTAAATTAGCTAAATGTTCTAAAAAAAAAAACATGAGATTTATTGTACGTGGTCTAACTTAATATTCATGAGCTAAGCCTTTGACACCATAACTTGCCTAACCATGACTGAGCTGTTGAACCTCTGTATATTTTGCCCTGAGTTCTAAGTAAAGTAGGCTGGTTGGAGTGGATGGTGGCTAACAGAGATGGCAGCTTTTAGTCTCACAGTCCTAAGTAAACCCAGTCACCGTCTTCCAATTACAATGCCAACACTGCCACCAGACATTCAGGCCTGCTGGTTGTTCCCTACAAACCCTTTTGACATCATGATGCTTCCATCTGTCATTCTTGGTTGGAGGGTAAAAATTAAGAAGGAGGAAAGACAGGTCTTGCTGTTGCCAGATTGTGGTGAACCGTTTAGCGCACTATCCAGGCCACTTAAAAGTGGTTTCCTGAATTCTGGCTGGGCTTACGGTGTCTGGATTTAAAAAAAAATCCCTTCTGTTCCACTGGGCTTCAGCTGAAAAACCAAAGCCAAGATCTAAACAACAGGCAAAGGTAGGCTCAGAGACCTGAAGCATAACAGATCACACAATGACAATGAAGCTTATTCTCCTGGACCTGCGAATTTGCTTCAGTATTGTGAAGATGACTTTTAGAGCGGTGGCCAGTATAGCCTGAGCCACAAAGGCATTCCTGTAGCTCAAATAATAGAGCAGGACTCTAGTAACGCCAAGGTCAAGAGTTCAGTTCCCAGGCAATATAAAAACTGATCAAA